CAACCTTTTCCAACAAAACAAAAAAAATAAATAAAAAATAACAAAACGCTTTTTACCACACTTTGTAGACTCATTTATTCATCGTTGTAGAAACGAGCGCAATAAATTAAAAAAAATACTTTTATTTAATAAAGATACAAAATTTTACATTCAACACTTTTTTGTGGAATTGCTCATAGTTTATGTTATTCAAGTTGAAAATCGCTTAATCCTTTTTTTAGACATTCTTACACTCGTACTATTTTTAGGATATAAGCAAAAAATCCTTAAAAAAATACATTGATGTATACACTAACTACATCAACACTTTACTTCATAAGAGCAAAGTTTTCGATTATAATACAATGCATGGATTGACTTGGGAACAATCTCTGTGATGCGCTTATAAACTTTGCGACATTAGAATCAGTAATGCCTGAAACGTACATCTACGAACTGTTTCGCGAACAGATGCATAACGTTATACTGGAACAGCCTCGGTACACGCCGCAGAGGCAAATATTACGCCATCGAGTTAATCAGCTTACGTGATTTTATGACATGTACGCATGGGTGAATGCGCGTAGGAATATAAGTAATTTTATGGAATAATATGTGCTACATGGGGTTAAAAAAAAATTAAATCAAAATTTTTGTACAATTTTTAAATGATTTTATTTGGTTTGTTTTATTGTGTTGTAAGTCGGAAAAACCATGATCATTTACAAAAACCAACGTAACACATATTTTTTCAAGTGTTGTGAAAATTTTCAAAAACGTCAAAAATTGTTTTTTTTTTAGTGTATCAAAATTGATAAGTATTCAAAACCACATTTACTTGAGTTTATAAAAAAACCTCCTAAATAATTAAAGCTTCTTGTGTTAGAAGTGACGAACGGATTCCATTTTTTATGAATTTTAAAATATCCCACGTCATTCAATGAATCGCCTGATACTTTTGATGTTAACAAATATTATTGAAAATCTTGATTGATGCGTTTTGTCACGAGATTTCGTTGCGTTGATTCAAATGATACTCGCGGATTATAAAAATAAACAGTTTGTGAATCATCACTACAATCCCTTTTTGTTTTTACAAAATGTCATTAAAATTACAATTTTATTAAACTATCTCTAGTTTCGACAACAAGCAAAATGTAAAATGTAAACGACGGTGATAACAGTACAACGTATGGGTTAAGTACGTTACACAGTCTTTTTTTAGCAAGATATCAATAGACATACTACAAAGTAAACAAAATTCAATGACCAAACAGCTAATGCTGTGCAAAGTACATTACTTTGATAAAACGAAACTAAACTTATTTAGCAGAAGTGAACAGAAGTAATCAGCTCGAGGTCACTATCTAGACTAAACTACTATTTTTGATTTTAACACTATTGATATTTTATCACTGAGAAAAAAAAAATTGTAGAGAAATTTCAGCAAAAATTACCATTCTATACATTAAATCGAATGCAAGCTGGTAAAAAAAAAAAAGTTATTATTTGTAATTGCAAAAACTATTGTTTTAACACTTAAAATTATGGTTAGGATGGTAAAAATTTCTATAATAAGTTATTTATTATTTCGTTTCAACCTTTTCCAACAAAACAAAAAAAATAAATAAAAAATAACAAAACGCTTTTTACCACACTTTGTAGACTCATTTATTCATCGTTGTAGAAACGAGCGCAATAAATTAAAAAAAATACTTTTATTTAATAAAGATACAAAATTTTACATTCAACACTTTTTTGTGGAATTGCTCATAGTTTATGTTATTCAAGTTGAAAATCGCTTAATCCTTTTTTTAGACATTCTTACACTCGTACTATTTTTAGGATATAAGCAAAAAATCCTTAAAAAAATACATTGATGTATACACTAACTACATCAACACTTTACTTCATAAGAGCAAAGTTTTCGATTATAATACAATGCATGGATTGACTTGGGAACAATCTCTGTGATGCGCTTATAAACTTTGCGACATTAGAATCAGTAATGCCTGAAACGTACATCTACGAACTGTTTCGCGAACAGATGCATAACGTTATACTGGAACAGCCTCGGTACACGCCGCAGAGGCAAATATTACGCCATCGAGTTAATCAGCTTACGTGATTTTATGACATGTACGCATGGGTGAATGCGCGTAGGAATATAAGTAATTTTATGGAATAATATGTGCTACATGGGGTTAAAAAAAAATTAAATCAAAATTTTTGTACAATTTTTAAATGATTTTATTTGGTTTGTTTTATTGTACAATATTTTAACTGTCATGATTCAATACGTAGGACAAGTGCTACTTTAAAATCTACTTTTAAGATGTGAGTTGTTTTTTTTATTCTTGAAAAAAAATCTCGTGTACACCCGAACCTCCCATACTCACGAAAAATGATTTCTCTCGTTTATTAAAAATTTTACCATCATCCGAAATAATATTCTTTTTTTACTGCTTCTATACATATGTCGAGCTAAAAAAACAACCCTTTACACAAGTAACAAGCTTTTCAAATCAACTTAAGATTAGACACATGTTATATTATTGAAAATAAATCTCAGTCAACTAACAATAGTGAGAAATTTTTTTTTTTTTTGTTAGTTTTATGAAAACTGTTTTAAGGGATGTATTTAATATCAACAGTCTGACTCGACACTAGGTAATGATGACACTTGCTCTTGCGACCAATACTTGTAATCATTTCCAAAAAATGTGCTTAATTTTATGTAACAATAAAAAAAAAGTCCAACCGATCATAACTCAGGGTAAATGAAGATTTCAGTTAACGAGTCGCGCCGATTGTGCGGCACGAGGAGCGCCAGCGTCGCCGAAAAGGGAGCAACCGGTTCTTCGGCTCCGATGGGGGTGGCGGCCTACGGTTCGCTCGTTTTTCAACTCAAAGATGCCCACCTGGAGGCCAGCGGTACTTGCGACTTTGTTTACCGCGCTCTGCGCGTCGTCAGCAAAACCACCGTCGTCACTGTCTTCCTCGCTTTTATGACCACCATACCCCTTGTCATGCTCATACTTGGTAAGTTGATTGTTTATTTTTTTAATTTTACAGTAAAATAAGCGTCATTGAAACTTTGGGGTATACTTGGCATTGAACGGAATTAGAGCGATTCTACCTTCAAGATGTGCTTGTTTTGATCGAATATGCTACCATTATCACTTGTATACATGTATGACGCTACGATGATGTATCTAATACAGCATCACAAAAAATCTTTACAAGAACTTCGTTATTCGGTTAGAATTGAAGTAACGTTAACCTTAAAGTGCCGGTTCGGCTTTATTATTTTTTTTCTGAATGAAAACTATACACGGTATAAACTTTTATTTGAGTCCAACCAAAGTATCATGTCACTTATTATTGCTACTTAGTTGTTACATAAACAATTATATCAGTGCATAGACGTGCATACTCATTAAAAATCAATTATTCTAAGGGTTTATACGGTACGTAAGGTCATATGCAAAGTTGTAAAAAAAAAAATATCTGTGGTAGTAGTTTAGCATTTTCTATGTCATTAATACAAAATAATATCGTCTTTTTGTTTTGAAAACAAAATTGTAGATACACGAGATTTTTATGTTTTGAATTTTTGTATCTAAAAATAAGTTTTCGATATGTTTTGGATTAAGCATTAAATCGCATGGATTTTTTAAAAACTATTGTTTATATGTTAATAGAATCTCATGATCGTTATTGTCACAAAATATATAAAAATATTAGTTATGATCTAAAAAATGAAGAAAATTAGGTATCTTTCATTAAAGTGAAAAAAAATTAATTTACTTTTACCAAATTTTGACTGACAGATACAAACTTAAAAAAAGAAAACTCTATTACGATTAGACCAAAGTAGATATTACCCTTAAACTCTTAATACAAATTAGTTGCAAAAAGCTAAAGAAATAATACACTTAACCAATATATTTTCAAAGGCTCTATATAACAAATCATAATTGTGATTATAAAATAAACGATCGATCAAAAAAATGATTTTTTTCCTTTTCCGTAATCACATAAAGGCCCCCTTTCACGAGATGACTGACTCGCGTTTCATTACTTGCTCCACTTAAGCTCGGGTATCATTTTACAGTGAGCAACGCAATCGACGCGGAAAATCTTTCAGCGCGAAATTACACGTTTCTGCTTAAAAATCGCAAGCCCCAAGTTGCGCCACTTACGAGCATATAAGTAGTGCTTTCGCATCGTTAAGTTCAGATCAATACTTTGGACATGCAAGCTTGAATCGCTCGTACACACTCTTCAATAGCCAACGTATATGTGTGTACATATTATATGCACCATGTAATTTTATTTGGATGATAAGTTTAATAAAGTAATAATAGTTATTATTTTTTACGAAATAATTAAAGAATATTTTGTGATTAACATAGCCAAATTAAAACACAAAAAAAAAGATTTGAAAATAACCTTTCTGTCCCTCAAATCTTGACAAGTAACCTTTTTTTTCATATGCTTTGAAAAGTAGCTTTTGCCGTCAGGCCGACGTAATATTTTAAATATCCTTATGAACCAAACTTTTAAAACCCTAATAATAGCATAATTGTAAAATATCAAACCGAAGTGAACTTTGTGACAATACCAATGGTACGATCACTGCAAGAGGAACACAAAGGTCTATTTTTGGATATTAGACCGAATATTGGCATGATTTGTTGGAAAAGGTTATATATACCTAACCTCACTAGTACCAATAAGCTGATAGTACGTACACTACCAGGTGTAATATCGGAAATTTAAATTAAAGTTTGATTATGAAGCTGAAAAGTGAGTCAATATAGCCTCTCAGAAATACTCGTTTTCCTGCAAACGAATAGTAGATTCGTTGAAAAGCACAGTTTTCGCTCACGTGTTTGCTTGCCAAAGAGTCTCTCGCTGAAGACGGAATTTAGAGAGCGTGAAACGTTGAAAGGAATCTTCGTAATTGTACTAAGTATGTACTTTTGGAGCAGAGCAGGTGCGAGCGATTACCTTTTTCGTAATGAAGTCTCTGTTTCGTGGAGGAAAAAAAAACTCCACTGTGTGAGTCTAATCTTGCTCTGGTGGCATCGTCTTCCAACCAACAACGAGATTTTCCGAGAAAAGTATTTCACATTTTTTCAAGTTTTATTTTGATTACAGTGAGGTACTTGGCGTAGTTTTTAACGCAGTAAAATTGTCAAATAACTCTTACATAATTAAAATTTCAAAGGAATAAGCAAAACACACGTCACGTCTGTTCAAACATTCACCCTTCTATTTTTGAAAAAAAAAATCACTTTACTTGTCTCAAAAGTAGAGGTTTATATTTTGTTACTTCCGGTAGGGGTCTAAATAAGACTTTTCAGAGACCGAAAAAAAAACACATCTTGTATCTTTATAGTATAGGTTTCAAGACTCGTAATTTTTATAATTGCAAGTTTCACATTTTAATTAACGCATTCAATAATGGAAAGTTACAAAATCCTAAAAAAAAAAAAAAANAAATCGAATGCAAGCTGGTAAAAAAAAAAAAGTTATTATTTGTAATTGCAAAAACTATTGTTTTAACACTTAAAATTATGGTTAGGATGGTAAAAATTTCTATGCGAAAATATATATAATTTATTAACCTATCTTTTTGAGGTTTACTGTTTCAGCACAGTAATTTTTACTGTTCCAACTATTCGAACTATTATTTTAACTGTTCCAACAATAATTTCTACAGTTAAAAATAATAATTTTTCTCTTTTTTGCCAACTTGCACCCGATTTACTGTACGGAATGATAAGTCTCTCCGTAATTTTTATTATTTTTTTCTTTCAGTAATAGTGTGATAATAATAGTTGGATAGGATGGAGTACGTCTAACGTAACTGGTAAAATAAATCTTGAATTTACGGCCGTTGCTACTGCAACAGCAAAAAAAAAAAAATTCGAGTCGTATGCGTCATACGAACACATAAATACCAAAGTCGAGTGATGAATCCCATAACAGACGCGTTTTGCATGAAAAGAAAAAAAAAATTATAGCAAAAACGTTTGCTTTGAAAGTTTTATGCACCTCCACACAGACGCGAACAACCGTGCCACTCGGTATTCAATGGGACCAAAGTCCGGGCTTAGAGAAAACGCGCGCTTAATTCTTTCACCGGTAAGCGGCACGAGATTCGCGCGCCCGAGCTTTATGAAAATATATTATTCGAGGGAGAGATCCTCAAAAAAAAAAAAAAAAAAAAAAAAAAAAAAAAACGCTTTTCCAGCAGCCCCGCGCGCCCTGCCGGCTGACCCACTTTCGCTGGCAAGATGTGCTTAATTCCCGCGCGGTCGAGGTGAACTTTTTGTCTCGATAAACTTTTCTCGATTTCGCGGAGACGGAGTGGGTGGGGACTTTTAGCTACTCGAGATTCCACTTAACGCTTGCATGGTTCGTGGAAGTTTTTTTTTTGAAAAATTTATAGCTTTGATGAAAATTCAATTGAGCGAGTCTCGAGTCAAATGCGCCGTAAACTCGATTTTTCGCTCCGAAGGGTAAAAAATGTGTCCCAAATGCTTGTCAAAGAAATCGTAAGAAAATAGAACATTATAGGTGCGTAAGGGTACGGTTTGTGGAGAGGATATATATGTATATTTTTTTCGGTGTCTGGGTGAAAATAAAGTAGAGGATGATTTTGCAGAACTGCTCTGTTGAATCAATCGCAATGTCATCCGACCAATTTTTTTTATCGGGAATGTTGAAATCAACTTATGAGATTTTGGGGACATCTCGTTTCCAGGCATTCAATTAGCCGTCGTGCTGAATCACATGATAAAATAAAGATAGGATTCTCAAAAAGTATGATTAAAAATAGAAAACTTGATACTGTTGTATGACAAAAGTCTCCAAAATTTATAAATCATATTCATAATAAATACCAGATTTATTGGCAATGAAGAAATGGTTGGTTCATCCACGTAGACGAGAGAAACGCCACATAATTTACTATAACCTGTTGATTTAAAAAAAAAAAGTGAGGGTTCCTTAGGCATGAATTATGAAAAAATTACAAGAAAATTATACAAAACGAAACGCCAAAGTCATCTTAAATAAAAAAATACTAGCTATAAATCTCAGATGAATCAAGTAAAAAAAAAACACTATTCAAGGTTTTATTCAAACTGAGGTTACGTGATTTTGACGAAATAACATTCAGAATTTTAATAAATGTATTCCACGATTGGTTTTGTGATGCTAATTGTATTGCATTTATAACATTTACATTAACGTTCTTGTACAGAGACACTACGATTAATATTTTTCAATCCTCTAGTATATATTTTTTAAATCCTTTTTTTTTTTTATTAGATTAATCAGTTTTCTCTACAGTTTTCATTGATCTCAGCTGTCTTTTTTTTCAAGGTCACTACTTACCACCTGCAACATCTCAGCTCTGCAGTTTCCACTAACCCTGTGTCTTCCTTCGTTTTTTTCCTTTATACCATATGGTTTTCTTTCGTTGCCTCCTTCTATATGTATTGCCTAAAGTACTCTTTCCACCCCTCCAATGAAACACGTAATTTTCTTCAGAGCTCTATTTGTTCCTAGTCCTTGATACTTCTCGGTTCTGCTTCTCCAATTGCTGTTAAATTCGCCTCTTTCTCCGCACACAATTTTCTCCGCTGTTTTGTTTCTTTCAGATCTACTGATTCGTCCGTTGTAACGGTTATCCTCCATGTATAACGGGCCCCTTTAAAACTCACTTTTTTCTTACAAACCTCCATTTCTTGGGTGCAATTTTCCTCTACAACTGTATTTTGTATGATATTTTAAATATAACTCCCTTTTTTTCCTTCGAATTGATTTTTCTGTCCTGTTTATTGCATCAAAAAATCCACTCAAAATTATATTTGTACACATTTAGTTATTTTGATGAATACGTGTCCTCTTTTACCTCCAATACGAAAACTTGTTGTCAATCGTGACCACTTGAGGACTTAATGTCACGCTTACAACTCGATATTTTGTCGATCTTCTTCATTAAATAATGTCACTGAGCCAATAAATATTATCTGTGGAGGTTTTGGTGGCGGAATCTGTAAACGTATCTCTCCAGTAAAGAGGAGATCTCCCAATTTTACTGCTCCATTAATGTTTAATTGATAATTTTTTCGCAAAATCCTGACATTTACTTAGTCCTTTGTTCGACAAGTGTATCATTTTTGTACAGTATTTATTACACTTATGCAAGCTTACAAGAGCTCTCCATTTTATTACACTGTACTGTATTTAAAAGTAAACGGATTCAAATTTATTTTTATTCTCATTTTGAATGTAGTAAAAAAGTTTTCTAGTGTACAGTCCACAGTATTAATCAGTGAATAGTTAGCACAGTTAGTAATTAATTAAATTTCAAATGATCAACACCATCAATCGTGACTCGACGAATTCGAGCACAACAAAAGATTGCAATTTTGAACGTCAAGAACGACCGATTCAGCTTGTTTGTACTGCCAATATACACACACATATATTTGTACGTGCTCATACATATATGTATTTACACGTTCAAAAGATCCAATTTGAGCATCGAGGTGTGCCTTAATAGGTTATCGGCCCAACAGATTCGAGTCGACTACTGCGTTCATAATAGTTGTATATATATATATATATATACGCCCCATACGGTATGTACACATCTCGCGCATACTACCACCAATAGCCCGGTAAATTATGTTTCAGTGCCGATTGTCAGCTTTGCTTCTGTTTGGAGTATATCGTCAAACGATAATGACGATGATTCGCGATAAATGTTGTTTGCCTGTGTATTATTATATATACATTTCTATTTGTATGTGCACTCGTGTTTGGATGAAACAATGCATATGTATATATATTAGTTATAATGTGATTTATCGGGTGGTCGCATTTAATGGAAATCCATTGTCGATTCACGTCTGGTGATTTGGGTGAGCACGCGAGCAATACGAAACGTTTTGAAATTTAACCGTTTACTTATTTTTTCTCTGTTTTATTTTCGGGATGGAAGCAATCACGCAATGGGATATAAAAAATACAGGGTTTTAGTATACGTTTTACGATTCAAAACATTTTTGAAAAAGTCAAACAACTGCCGTGTATATGTTTAATTTTAAAAAAATATTTAAGGTGGTTCTTTCATGAAATGATTATGAACAGAATGATATGAAACATTGAGAAATCATTTATTAAGTTACAATACGCTACTCGTCAAAATTTTAAAATACGTAGGCTGGCAATTATAAACGCAAGAAAATGATGAATGAAAAATAAATTTTAAACATGTGCTCTTATGGCAGCTACGCATTCCTTTACTAAAAGTTGTAGCCTAGTTATTTATTAATTGAACATAATCAAGTAAAAAACTGACACAATAAAGCTTGCCCAATACTAAACATACTGCCATCTCAAAGTATATTATATTCACGGACTTAATCAAAAGATATTAAAACAAACACAGGCATACATTTTTGTTTCCTACGTTAAAAGCATAGGCAAACATCAACTGCTGGTATTTTGAGGTTAATCATAAATTTTATGTAGTCATTCCTACGAAGTTTTATATCGGATATCATAATCTGAAATTTCGAATTAGTACTTAATTTAACTCAATCAACGATATTTACAAATAGTTGTTTGAAATTTAAGCAGTGTTAATAAATATCAACTTGATAGTCGCATCTTTGACTCTGGAGTCATGAAAGAAACACCTTTAAAGCGTTGCTCACAATATTTTTGAAACGTTTCAAAATCGTTGAGAGCCAAATTAAAAAAAAACGTTTTTCAAAAAGTCACACGAATGTCGTGCAAATATTTTAGAAATGTTAAAGGTGTTGATTATTTCTTGTTTTTTGAAAATTACTTTACAGGATTTTTCACACATTAATTTGTGCGTACGTGGTGTGTTAAAACCGTTGTTACCATTCAGATGACGATACTTTAGTAAGGTACCTGAGTGATTTTATTTTTTGCGACGATAACAGCTGCTTTTTTTATTTTTACTACAACGTTTTTATCAATTTTTTCTCACAACTTTTTGTACAAGTTTTTAAAACGATGGGAAGCCAACAAAATCAGCTTTGCACCCAGAAATAAAAACAAGTGACAATCGTCGTATTTCAAACAAGAATTTTTGTTCAAAAAAATTCGATGTATCGTGACAAGGCTTATCATTTACATTCGAATTCTGTTCTCTTATTTAACTATGAGGTCCCAACGGTAACGCAAACACAGCAAAGATGGCGTATTATAGCTGAAAAAAAATGGCGTCTTATTGACAAAAATGTACTATCCATGATCTTCTGACGTCAGCGTGACGGAGATGTTTTTACATAAGTAAGTCCACATTACCGTATATTTTCGTCACCAATAGCAAAAGTGTTTCAGTGACGTCATTTTTCTTGTCATACAAGTTAAAATTCTCAAAAATTTCACACAAAAATATATATTTGATCGATCAGTAATACGTTACGTATTTGTAGGTATCTAGTATTTAAGTAACATTTACATTATTTAAAAAAAAAAAAAAGAATGAAATTCCGTTTATATAGGCTAAAAATTGTCTGAGGTGGTGAAACTTTGATACAAAAATAGATGCTTGAAAGTAGGGAACATCCGACTGACATTGACGACAATACCTTGGCTGAAAAGTTTCCGACGAAATGTGAGCTTTTCATCATGATCAGAGCAATAACTTGGGGTAACAGGTTCGCTCGATAAATCATACAAGAGTATTCTTCTTCTTGCCTCTGATTCCCGAAAAAAAAAGATAATCAAATTCGTATTCCTCCGTTTTGACACGCGTACAACTTCTGCACAATAAAGCCGCTGAGTCTGAAACCTCTCTTGGGCTAGTTAAAACTTTTCCCGCTGCTCTTTCTCTCTTCGCAATCCAAATGGGCAGATTTTGCGAAGAGAGAACAAAACAACGTTGAACTCGAAACTTTCCCGTTGCCTCGCGAATGCCAGTCCTACCTCCTTGACGAAAAGCCGCTTTTGCGTTGCAATCGTCAAGAGGGAATTGTTACGCTTTGCTCTTCTACTGCTTGAACACTGCCTCGGATTAATTTATACAATATTTTACATACCCACTATTTCTTACTTATATGACAAAAATTAACATCCAACACATATTATACAATAAGACAGAGAAACCTATTGTCTGTGTATTATACGTACACTAAAAAAAAATTTGTACCCATTGATTTTTAGGTTATGTGAATTCCGAATGATGTAGAGTATTCTCAGCTTACATAACCACCACGCCCAATTTTGATTGCAGGTGTGCAGTCGGTCCGTGATTGTCCTCGCGAGCCCAACATACCTCTGTACATGGTGGTGGGTGGCAGCCTGGGCAGCGTGCGGATGTTTTGGCTGGTGATCTCGAGGATACGCTCTCGCCGGCCGGTCGTCGTTAGTATGCCCAACAACGACGAGCGCGTGTCCTGCAAGATGATCGCATCCATTCTGCTGTCACTGTTTCTCATCGGTTGGTTCGCTCTTGGTGAGTATAACACGGATTACGTATGTGTAGTCATGCGCGTACTGTGACCATATTTAGGTTATCGATTGTGGATGTTGAAGGAGTATAAAATATGCATCTGGTAAGTTGCACTCCAAAAAAAAAAAAAACGAAACATTTATTAGAATTTGTCACAAAGTCTGCATATACTTTATTCATTTCAACACAGGATGGTAATTCTATTTTACTATAAGAGCCACGAAAATGTGACTGGCGAGTTAATAAACTTGGTACATATGGTGCCAGGGAGAACAACCCTCAGTTTATATAACAGTTTATTATCAGAAAGCATATACTAAGTATAAGATATTAATATACAGTAAACTTTACTTAGTGTAAATACTTTATTTGCTACGATCAAACCTAATTGAACTGTGTTAAAACAAAGGAAAAAAAATTAGATTTCCGAATAAATTATCATATAGATTATTTTAGAGTACAAAAATTATTTTTGTATTAAAAAATTTGTATAGATATTTGAAAAATTAGATGTTGATTGGTAAACAAAAATAATTTAGTCACTTTTATAAATTTTAAGGTTAGAGCTACGTCAAATACCTTCAGTCGATTTCAATTATCAGAATTTTATAGTAGTTATATCAGTCAATAATGACAGTTCGGAGATTTATAGGTTATAAAATATGTGGTGGAATTCATACAACTCATTAAAGTAATACACTTTAATTTGAAAACAAGCCCCAAATGGATGGATGCTCCTTTATTAAATATTATCTGCAGGAAATAAGTCATTGGCCACTAATACCATATATTATAACGCCTCTACCACTTAAAATCCGTGAAATAAATTCGCACTTACGAAAACTGGAGATCGAAACTATAGGTAAAAAGACCACCGCAAGCTATTACGATGTCCCCTTGCTGGTACTCCGTCTCTTCCTCTCCAACATCGACCGTGAAATTCAGCACTTGTACGCGTACGAACGTACGCTGCAGCTACTGTTGTTATTGTTATCGACCTCCAGCCATACCGTATTATAATTGCCAGGCTTGAGATTCAAACTCCTGCTGGGCGTCTGATTGCTTTGGCTTTTGCAGCGGAGAGGGCGAGTCATTACCTGTTTTGACTTGCAAAAGCCAGCCGATATACGTATGCATTCATGCGCGTGGTTCAATTATCGGGCGCTACTGTATTATTAAATAATCAAGTTTCCAGTCTGGACGTAAGAAATAATTCAGACGGAAAAGAATTGAAATTTTCTAGGTTATGTCGAGATTGCGATTGGATTTCGGGTTGTTTGTCGGCGAATTTCTCCCGGCACTCGGAACTGCGAGAGGGTGGTAGCTTTTATTTCCAGTTTAGAGATCTAAGTAAATACTAAGCGCGTAGTTAAGTTGGTTTGTTTGAACTTACGTACGCTAAATTTGTCGCGTTGACTTGATGTTCGTGTTTACTTTAGCGTGTTATTTCAAAATGAAAAAACAGCATGATTAAAATGTTACGATGGAGCTCTAATAGTAGTGCCAACAGAGAAGAAAAATTGTGTTCAATTAAGGCATTAAAATGATACTAAAATAACAGTTGAAGATTAAAAGTAACCCTGGTTAAACATTGAAGATGTAGAGTAAGGTGGCGCAATCGGAGCGCTTTGTTACAGCCTCATCTTTTAAACACTATTACTTAAAAGACATTTTGTATATGATACTAAAACTAAAACTTACGAATAAATAAACAAATTTCTCATTCTTCCACCTGCACTTGAAAATGTTTTTTTTTTTAAATTAAAAACCGAAGAGACTGCCAGGCTGGGAAAGTGGGGTAATAGTAGCGGCATTATAGCTGATTTTTTTTTTTTTTTTAATACCTGATTAGATATAAAAAATCTCATTACTTTTTCAATTAATCAATGATAAATAGTTTAGTGAATAAATAATACAGATGCAATTTTTATAAGTAAGAAACAAGTTGTGTTTTATCACGGCTAAATTTCTTTTGTTGAGGTTAGAGCAGATAAAACAAACGTTACGAAACCGCTATGATTGCCCCATAAAAACCGCTCCGATTGCCCCTTTTTTAAAATCATCAATTCTGAATAACTTTGTTAAAATTTTTATTAAAATTTCTTATGAACAGTAAGCTAATGTATTAAATCTGTTATTTCACATATAAAAATTGAAGTTTTTAGATTTTTCAAATATTTTTCATGTGATAAAATTGATGTAAAAACTATTTTTTTCGACTACAAGGTGACATTACACTTTAACTTGTTTTTATTCGAAACATATGATTTGTTTATTTCTGTATTCACGTGTAAAAAAAAATGCGTTAGGGTCGGGACTTTTCAAAGAAAATTTTTTTTAACAGTCGGACAAATTGTCATAAAGATATTAAGAAAAGCCCCGATTACCCCACCGCTCCGATTGCCCCACAATACCCTACTAGCTAAATCAGTTTTTTTTAGTAACATGTATTTTCACTTCAGTTCACAGTTATGTTTACGTCGATCAATTTACTTATAATCTAGACGTAACATACACGTAAGCCATGACGGTTGCCAGATCACAGGCGCGTCGAGATATGTCTGACCAAATCGGTACCTGCACTACTAGCGGAAACGTATGAGCGACGCGACGTAACTATACATATAGAGATAACTGATATACTTGAGGACACGACGGTTGGAACGGATCTTGGTGATGATATAGATTCTCAACTGAGGCAAATAAATCGAGTTTCAGTGTTAAACATTTTTATATTAATAAATCGTAGGAGGCCTAAGCCCTAGTACTCAATTTAAGAAATAAGCTCGCTGATGCCTGGTGAGTCAGCCAGGGCACTACGAGAAGGGCAGATTTATAACCTATATTCTGTCCCATAACCCGCAACTGCTCAAAAAGAGCAACGTTAGTCAGCCTTCGCCCCCGGGGGACCAGGGCGCATTCGCTAGCTAGAATGTCGGATACCTCAGATAACTGTGTGAAAATGACAGCCAACGAAGAGGACCAAGGCTCTTGGACAGATGTAAGCAAGAATAGAAACAAGCGGCAAAATGAAGAATACGCCAATCAGGTCCCAACTAACAGCAAAGTTCCGAAAAACGTTCATAACGACCAGCTAGCAGCTGAAAGCCTTCCAGTTCTGGCTTCACAACATCATGACCAACAGTTGCTCATACAGCAGAAACATCAACAGCAACAACAGCAACAACAACAGCTCCAGCAGCAGCAGCAGCAGCACCAACGTCTACCGACCCAGGAAGATCCTCTTTCTTTCTTTCTTTCTTTCTTCAAACCTTACTCAAGGTAATAACTACAATCTAAATAAAGCTAGCTCAGCAGCAACAAAATTTTATTCAGCTATGAACCAAGGTCCTTATGGTATCTTAATCTGCAGTAAAATATCAAACGAAGGCCCTACTCCTCGTTTGCACAGGTATGCGATTAGCAAACTAATCTTTAACAAATACAAGATTGATCATATTGTGCCCAAGTCACAAAGAAGAATTGAAGTGCTCTGCTCAAACATCCACGAAGCAAACAAACTCGTCACCGATCAAGAAATACTAAGCAAGAATTGTGACATCTTCATCCCCTCATATCGCCTTGTTCGCAAAGGAGTCATAAGAGGAGTAGACACAGACATAGAAGACCAGGACATATTGGCTGACCTCAGAAGCTGTGTTGAAGTTGCATCTGTCAAAAGATTAATCAAAAGAAACCGTGCTTATTCAGCTGATGAGTCTCAACCCAAAAGGATCCCCACTACCTCGATTAGTATCACATTTGTAGGTCAAGATCTTCCTAGGTTCGCATACCTTTATGGAATTTCACACGACGTTCATCCATATTTTGCCTCTCCCAGGATCTGTTTCTCATGCTACAAACCAGGACACACATCCACCTATTATAAATCTGAGGCATTGTGTAGAAAGTATGGTGACAAAAGACACGATGGAACCTGTGCAAGTGAGAAACTCAAATGCCCAGCATGCCAAGGTGATCATGCAGCTCTGGACAAAATGTGTCCAATCATGATTAGGGAAAAACGTGTACAGTACATCATTGCCACAGAGAACAAGTCCTTTGACGAAGCCAGGAAGATTGCTACAGGAGACTTCGTCCCACAAGTTCCACACGCCACAAAAGAGTCGTTTCCACACATATCACAGCATAATAGCCTTCACAGCGTAAATAGGTGGCGGCCGCTCAGTGACCTTTATCAAGACTCGGATCAGGTCCAATCTACATATTCCGAAGTTGTTGGCCAGAACAAAACACGTTCTCCCTCGCCTGCACTCGTCGAAAGAAGATCTTTTACCCAACCGGCCAAGATCCATTCACAAGAACCTACTAAGCCCAAAGAACTTCGAAGGGACTGGTTCAAATACCAGAAGGAAAACTGCCCCTACTTTCTATCAGGAAGCGAGCA